AGCTGGCTCCATTTTTAGGCCTGTGGTGAGGCAGAAACACCATGGCAGAAGAGCAGAAAGCTGCTCCCCTTATGGCACCCAGTAAGGAGAGGAAGAGAGAGAGGGGCAATATGAAAGAGAGAGAGGAAGAAAGGGGCCAGGGACAAGATACACCCTTCCGGGCATACCCCTAGTGACCTACCTCTTCCAAATAGCTACCATCTTCCACATTTTGCACCACCTCCAAATAGTCCATTCAATTATGAACCTATCGGTGGACTAATCCATGATGAGGTCAGAGCCCTTACGATCCAGCCACTTCCCAAAGGCCTGGCCTCTGAGCATTGCTGCACCAGGGAACAAGGCTGTGATACATAAGCCTTTGAGAGGTATTTTAGACCCAAACCATAATACTAATTTCCATGTTTAAAATTTCTGGTTGATTCAAGTTTTTTCTGGTTATGCTGATATAAGTTTTTATCTGGTATCATTTTTTTCCCACCAGAAGAAATTCCCTGAATATTTCTTATACTGCAGTTTTGTTGGTGACAAATTCTCTCAGCTTTTGTTTATCTGATAAATCTGCCACTTTGACTTCATTTCCATTTTGCCTACTCACTTTTTCTGGATATAGATTTCTAGGTTGATATCTGTTCCTTAATTTTTTTCTTTTAGTACTTTTAGAGAGATTCTTTTATAGTCTCCTGGTTTCTCTTGATTTTCATGAGAACTCTGCTATTATCTTTGTTTTATTGCACATGCACCACTTTGCTCTGAAGCTTGTAACATTTTCTTTGTCACTGCTTTTCTGTTATTTGATTGTGCAGAGTCTTCGTGTGCCATTTTTGTATTTTGTTTGAGTTGTGATTCTTGGATATGTGAGTTGATAGTTTTCATTTGATTTAGAAATTTTTCAGTTATTTGTGTTCTTTCTTTTTCTCTGTGACTGTAATTATACGTATGCTGCATAGCATACTATTGTCCCACAATTCACTGAGACTCTTCATTTGTTTCAGTTTTCTTTCCCCCTGTGTTTTATTCTAGATATGTTCTATTATCATGTCTGGAAGCTCACTAATTTTTACTCCTATAAGATCTAATCAATTATGAATTCCACCTGAAGTTTTCTATTTCCAAAAGTTCCATTTGACTCTTTTAAAAATTTTCCTTTTCTTTACTCATTATATTGATGCTTTCTTTTACATCTTTGAGCATGTGGAACATATTTATAAAGCTCATTTTAGAATTTTTATCTCCTAATATCATCCTCTATGTCTTTTCTGTTCACTGCTTTCCTTTTCTTATGCTTTTTCTCCTACTTCTTCACATCTGATAATATTTTATTTGATATCAGATGATATGAATTTTATATTGTTTTATTCCTTTAAAGAACACTGGAATTTTTATAGCAGGCCAAATCACTTGCAAGTTAGTTTAATCATTTTGAGAGGTGTTTTAAAGCTCCTATAGAGAAAACTAGAGTATCACTATTCTAGGACCATTTTTCCCCACTTATAAGCCATAGATCTTTGAGATCTTGACCAAATGTTTTTACATTTATTGAAGTCTTTTCACTCATACTGGAGGAACACAAATGATTCCTAACTTTGTATGAGATTTTGGAATTGTTTATAACATCTCAATAGCTTTTCTTTCTCCCTTTCCTGTCTTTGCCTTGTTTTGTGGAGTTTCACCTTATGCATAAACTAGGTCAGCCTCCTACCAAGGACACTCCCTGTACAAGCATCTGAATCTCTATGCAGATTTCTGAGATAATTTCTTTGCATAAATTTCTTCTCTTGGGGACTCTGTCCTGTAAATTCTCCAGTGTCCCTGAATTCTGATCTCTGTCTTCTTAGCTTAGCAGGATTGCAATACCTACTTGAAGTTTTTCTCCCTGGACCCCAACCTGAGAATTGCCTCTAGGCAGAAAGCCTGAATAATAGTCAGATATTTATTTCTCTTCTCTCAGAGATCATAGTCCCAAACTGCCTCTTCTTTATATTCCTGCTTAGATGACATCGTATCAGTGAGGTGTCTCATGGCACTTCTCTATAAAAATGCAGCTCCCCCCAACTCTCACCAACACTTCATGCTCCTTTTACCCATTTTGTTTTCTCCACAAGAATTATAGCTTTAAGCAAAGTATACAATATACTAGGTTATTTTGTTTATCATCTGCCATTCTTACTCCCCTCTCCTGCCAGCCATAGTTACAAGAATGAAAGCTTTCTGAAGGTGGATATTGTTATCTGTTTTGTGCCTTGGTTTATCCCCAGCATATACAATGTTCTTGGGACAGACAAGGTGTATCTATGCTTTTCATTAGAGGATCCTCACTGAAATATTTGAGAAAGAGAATGTAAGAAATGCAAATATGAGATATCCAAATGTGGTATTGTTGCATTCCCACACTTTCAGGTAAGAAACCAAGAGCCTGATTTCAAGGTTTTCAAGGCAGTGTCTAGTTGAGCACCAAGATTCATAATGCAGGTGCTACCTGGTGAGGAGGTCTCCCTGAAAGAGGTGAGCTTTACAGAGACAAGATGGGACAGGTCTTGAAGGGCTGTGAGGTTAGTGTTAGCCAGGGAGAAGTGGGAAGAGACTCTGCAAGGCTCTTCTCTCTTCCCGTAACCATGATGCCTAAGCCGATGATCATCATGAGGAGTCCTTTCTTTTGGTTATAGGATAGGGAGAAGCAGAAGAGGCAGTGACAGACACAGTGAAAGAATTTGGCAGAGGTAGGAAAAAAGCAAGACCATTAGGGATCCATATTAGTTTGTTGGTGCTACATCAAATTCCTATAAATTTAACAGTGGCTTAAATCAACACAAATACATTATCTTACAATTCTGGAGGGCAAACATCCGAAATATGTATTAAGATAATCGAGGTGTTAGCAGGGATGTACACCCTCTTTTCCCCCTCCTTCTCCTTCTCCTCCTCCTCCTCGTTCATTTTTTGTCTCTTCTAAATTCTAGAAGCTGCTCACATTTTTTGCCCCATGATACCCAGCACACAACTGTATCATTTAAACCTCTGCTTTCACTGTGATATTTCCTTCTCTGGCCTACCTGTCTCCCTCTTCCCTCATAAGGAGTCTGGTAATGACATCAAGCCCACTCTGAGAATCTAGGATAATCTCATCTTCCTATCCTTAATTTAAACACACCTACAAAGTGGTTTCTGTCAGGAAAGGTAACATATTCTTAGGTTCTGTGGATTTGTTTTTATTGGCTAGGAAGGTATTCTGCCTACCACAGTCTCACAAAATAGCTTTAAAAGTTAGGAAGTCAAATGTGGGGAGAGACAGAATTGAAGACAACACATGTGATTAAAAAGAATGAGGTCCAAGAATACAATAATTTAAAGATAAATATAAATGTTACTTAAGTTACTTATTTATAACACCCATGTCTGTGTCTTCCTCTACTGGTATGCTTTTAAGAGCCAGTGCTGTTTATAACTGTAATAAAGCTTCCATGTAGATGTGCCTGTATGTTATGGACTGCATGTTTTGGCCTCACAGAGTTCACTTGTTGAAAATCTAGCCCTTATGGAATAATATTAGGATGTGGGGAATTCGCAGGGCAATTAAGTCATGAAGGTAGAGCCCTCCTTATGAAATTAAGGCCCTTGAGATGGGAGATCTGCCCCCTCCATCACCATATGAGGACACAGCAAGAAGAAAGCTATCTGCAAATCAGGAAGTGGACTCTCACCAGATACTGAATCCGCCAGAAATTTAACCTTGCACTTTCTAACTTCCAGAACTGTGACAAAACAAATGTCAATTGGTTAAGCCACCCTGTTTATGGTAATTTGTTATAGCAGCACAAACTGACACTATATAATGACACTATATAATCTCATCTAGCTCAAATTTGAACCCAGGTCTATGGAACTCCCATCCTCGCTACTTACCCTACTAGACTTAATGCCTTCCTGTGAGGGGAATTAGTTCATTCTTACAACACTAGGTAGATTTATTGTGTTACTGAACACTATTAAGCATCTAAAATAATCTGCTTCTAAAGAATCAACATTTCAGCAGAAGTTAATAATATCTGGAGAGATTCAGACAGGTCTTTTAAATTGGCTTATGCAATCAGCACATAAAATAAATTTAAAGAAAATTTCAGAGCATATGGCATTCTGATGTCTTCAAGTACAGTTGGCTGGAACCATAGTGTACATGATGAAGAAGTATAATTTTAAAAGAAAGCTGTTGGACTCTAGTGTTGCAAATAAAAATCTAAGGAGGCATTTTGTAATTCATTTTTCTGTTTCTATTTTTCCTAGTGCTTTATTACCATGTTTCACTCCTAAAGACTTTAAATGTTTCCTGCCATTTTAACATAATAAATTCCAGCTCATCCCGTTCCTTCCAAGAAACTGACATTCACCTCTCCTGGCAAGGAAGGAATGTCACCGCTTAGCTAAATAAGAGAGACAGAGTAGGCTGTGCCCATGAGAAAATCTATCCCAAACTCTCATCTTCATCCGTTATCTCAGGCCTAAACAGAAGTGCATGAGTAAGGTGACCTCTAGTTCTTCCAGCCCTGTATTTCTGAAACCTCATGGGGATTGTATTTGACTGTGGTTGAGATGGATCAAACTCATCTCCTAGTCTATGTCCAGATGTTTGAAAGGAGAGTGACATTCTTCAGGGCTTTTGTTGTTACTCCTGGTTGGCTAATCACCATCCCAAGAGGACAATGTCAGAAGAGCTGTTGTCACACACACCAGGTTATGGAAGGCTTGATTTTACCTAGGCGAGGAGAAGACAGGAGGCAGAGAGCCAGTAGTCAAAGGGAACAGCCCCCAGTTTTTGGAGTTGTTAAGCCCTTGCTTTTTAAAGTGGGGCCAGCGGCCCGGCCACAGAGGCCACAGCCAGGAGTGTGCTGGACATAAACTCTCAGGTCCTGCTCCAGACACGCGAGAGCAGAATCTCAGGTGGTTTGTGTGAACATAAGTGTCGCTGACCACTCCTCTCTTGTTCCTGTCTGGCAAGAGTCTGGCAGGAGTGCTGAGTGTCTGCTGTCCCATTGGAGGGGTGGGGACGCAGAGTGCCAGCCACACCTCACCACTAGAGACAGACGCGAGAGCGACGCGGTTTCCCCCAGCCAGCCCACGTCTTTCCCGGGCAGGTCACCCAGGAGTCCGCTCAGCGGTTGGCACCCGGGGCCTTCCCACTCCTCCACTCTGCCGTCTCGAATCAGCCCGCCCCAGAGGCACTGCGAGCCTCTCTGCTCCTCCCTCCAGCTCTTTCCCCGGCGAGCGCGACTCCAGCGCCCGGTCCGGTCCCCTCTCCAGCCATGCTTCGCTGCAGGCTCCTTCTCCTCCTTGAACTGATACTGGGGGCTGAAGTGGGCAGCGCTGGGGGCTCCAGGACTGGTAAGTGGGGCGCGCGCGAGGAAGGGATCGTGCTTCGCCCTGCAGGGTGGGGCGGGGGTGGCGAACTTTGTTCAGTGTCTGCTGCGGCTCAGCTGCTCGCTGTGGGCACTGTGGGGGCAGGCGGTGACGAGCCGGGCACCCTCTCCAGATGTGCTCCCCACTGCGCAGCTGACGGGTACCCAGGACGCAGCAGGGCGAGGATGAGCCTCCCTGGGGGAGCCTCCCTACAGGGTTCTCCCCGCGCGTTCCAGGCTTGCGGCAGTGGAGGCGAGATGAGTTCGGAGGAAGAGCTCGGTTTCTTTCCTGCACTGCACAGCCCAGCAGGAGAAGAGCGCCCTATCCACCCCACCCCATCCCACTGCCCACCTCCACCAGACCCACCCTCTCTCCGTCCCGCGCTCTTTTTTCCTTGAAGTTCAGTCTCCCTAAGGTTCCCTTTCTAACCCTGGTCTCTTACTTGCCCGCCGCCTGGGTTCTACAGACACCACTCTAGCCTCTTGGAGGGCCAGCACCTCAAAGGAAAAGGTGTCTCACTCCAAAAGCAGCCCGGGAGGAAAGGGTGCCGGGGCCCAAAGTGCACTTAGGACCCCACTTTCTGCGACACCTGTTGATGCCACTTGGGTACCGGCAGATGTCAATGCAGGGTGAGCTGAGTGTGGGTGCCAGGAGGCTGAGACACGCGGGCTTCCCAAGGGGTGAAGTATGTGGCTTGTGATTTAGCCAGGCATAGGAGGGGCCTAAGATTTGTGAATCCACCTGCAGGATTATTACTCCCCCAGGACCGGTGTTCCTGATGTCCCCACCTCACGAATGGAAAACAGGTTTGAAGTCATCTTAAACTTTTGCAGACTTTTTTCTTTTTTGATCATGGTACTGTTAACCATGTTGGAGGAGGAGGTGTAAACACATAAATAAATTTCTTACATATTTACGGCAAGCACTTATCTCAATTTGAAGTTTGAAATGAATCTGCAGATAATATGTAGAATCCATATGCACGTGTGGTCCCCAGAATGCAAATCACAAGGGCAAAATGTTGCTCAAGTTGTGACTTAGCTAATGGTGAGAGTCTCTAAAGGGTGACTGCGGCCCTCATTGGGAACCTTTGGAAGGGTCTGTTAGTAGAGGTAGCAAAAAGAGTTCTAATGCCAGGCAGCTTTGTGCTCATTTATCAACTTTAATTACAAAATATGGTGGATATATAAATTTAAAATTATTACAGTTAAAGACACACTTTAATTAATGCCTCTCAAAACATTTCCCCTTGTTTTGAATACACTTATCTCAAACACACCTGTCTCTTGTTCTTGCCATTTTCTGAAGCAGTTCTGAAAGTCCTCTTTCATGAGACTTCAGTTGCACCATCACGGCTGTTTTGATGCCCTGAACTGATTCAAAAAATTTATCTTTTATGGTCATTTTGACTTTGGGGAAGAGCCAGAAGATGCATGGTGTCAGACCTTGTGAATAAGGTGGATGAGGACATACTGTAAGGTTTTTATTTCACAGAAATTGCTGTTAACTTCTGAACTTGTAAGTATTCATACTTAGAGCTTTTGAGACTGAACCAAGTTGGAAGAATTAAGAACTCATGTCTTTTGAAGCAATATTGTGAATGTCCCTCCACTGTAACAAGAAAACAGTAAGACATACAACAAGGCCTGAGCAACAACTCTGTGACATCAAGAAACAACTGGTTACCAAGGAATGTCACAAATGAGCCCACATGGGTTTGGGGGATATTAAATCCCCCTAGTGTTCTCCTAGGAGTTAGCTGAAGGAAGATCTTTCAAAGTGACCTTTGCCATTTACCTTGGAAAGGTGCGGTCTTGTCCCTTCAAAGCTAGGAACTCTCATGGCCCTTCTTCATCATCCAATGCAGATGGAAGAGAATGCAACATGACTCAGCAAGCTGCATGTGGGGACAGATGCATCCCTGTGGCCTGGCTCTGCAATGGTGAGCGAGAGTGCCCCGATGGGACTGATGAGCAGTGTGGTAAGCATGTCGTAAGACTGTACTATGAATCTGGCCCTGATTGTCAAATATAGGTAGGGCATCCCTAGTCTGAAAATCCAAAATGCTCCAAAATCTAAAAGTTTCAGAGCACCAACATGACACTACAAGTGGAAATTTCACACCTGACCTCATATAATCAGTCGCAGTCAAAATGCAGGTGCTCTAAAAATAATATATAAAATTACCTTCAGGCTATATATCTAAGGTACATATCTACACAAAACATACATGAATTTGGATTTAGATTTGGGTTCCATCTCCAATATATTATGTAGGTGCAAATATTTCAAAAATTTTAAAAATCTGAAACATGAAAAGCTTCTGTTCCCCAGCCTTTCAGATAAGGGATACTCAGCCCATGCTTGGTTATCCACATCCATTTGTATGGTGTTTACCCTTTGAGGGTCTATTCAAACATGGTAAGTGTTCTGGCCTGTTGCAGGCTCAGTGGGTAAGGCAGAGATGTGTCTACAAGTGTTGGCAGCATTATTGTCATAATAAAGCCCATACCTTCAATTTAGTACTAACAACTAGCACTGTTACTCAAAGCTAATTAATTCAGTTTCCTCTATAGAGAACCCCTTGTAGATCTGATGTCTACAATTTCTTTCATATACACTCAACTAGTTCAACTTTTTACTTAGAAATTTTATACAACCAAAAAGCCACTTTGCAAATTGAACATAAAGGAAATTAAAAATCCAAAGCCAAGTCAAAGATTTAGCAAATGTCTTGCTGAAATTAAGCTCAAGTACTCTGTGTTCAGAGTGCCCAAAGGCCCTGAAAGGTCACCTGAGCCCAAATATATGCAGAAAGCTTCTTAACAGATGATTCACCTCCTTGTGCCATGCGTATGGAAGGGAGAAAAATGTCTTCATGAAAGGAGAAAAATCCTGAGGTACTTAGTGAATACTACATTCCTTTTCTTTACACCATATACCTATTCTTGAGTGGTCATTTACTGTGACTAATTTAACATGAAATATTTAATATTGAAACATATTAGGGGATGGAGGTGTAGCTCATTGGTAGAACACATGTTTAGTGTGCATGAGACCTTGATGCAATCCCAAACACCACAACAAAACAAAACCAAGCATGTAGTGTAATAGGTTGGAAGAAACTTTTATGCTTGTAGAAATACCTTGTTCTGTGCCCCATGTAAATTGTGCCCTAGCTTTCCAAATATTATTGCTTCTGTCAAGTGCAAGTACTTGAAGATGGATCTAAAACAAAAACTAACAGTTTCCAGGTTGTCTTAAATGTTAATATAGCCTCGACATCAAAGTAATTCAAAGAAGTAAACCTATAAAACTACCCTGGCCAATGTAGTGACCACTAGCTACTTATGGGAGCTTGCATTTATTGATGAAATACTTTAAATTCAAATACAATTTATATAAAATCAAATTCTATCATTTCAAGTGCTCAATAGTAACATGAGACTAGTAGCTTGAGTTTAGGGTGAACAACATGAAATATTTTGGTTGTCAAAGAGAGATGTACTGGACTATGACATTCTAGGATCATGGTGAGGAAGGTTAGTGCTATCAGGTTTCTGGGTGACTGTGTCTTGGAAAGCGGAGGTATTGTGTGATAGTGTCAGCAGAAGCTTGAAAACATCAAGCAAGTTCAGGGCTGACTCAGGTGGCAGATTGAGAAGTCATGATTTCTTTGCTATTTAAAGTACATAATATGCAACCCAAATCGAAAAACTCAGAAACTTGTCTTTCTTTCTGCTTCTTGTTGCACTCTGCCACTGGCCTACAGAGGAACCATGTGGAGGACACCGGCAAGCCTGGCAGTGTGACGATGGGACATGTATTTCCATCCACTGGCTTTGTGATGGTGCTGGTGACTGTTTAGATGGCTCAGATGAGGTTAATTGTGGTATGTATAGCTTACACTTAATGTCTCACCATCTTCTCTCTGTTTATTAGCAGCATTTATTAGCAGCAACACTATTAAGTGAAACAAGCAAGTCATTAAGTGACTTTATGCCACCCGTGCCAAACCCAGATGTTACACTGTGTCTAGTATTATAAGAGACTTTTTATAACCCCCTTCACTGTTTTCTCAAAACACTGTAACCCAAAATAAAAGTCATTATTGGCTTTATTAATTTATTTGGGATAAAAATTTAGTCTCCAATGGTTAGTCTTCTTTTAATTCTCAGTTTTCTATAAATTTAGTCTATAAGCAAACCACAAATACCCATATGGAGAAGCAGGTCTATAGTACAGCAATTCTGTCTCACCAAGCCAACTCTTGCCTCTCAGAGAGAATGACGGCATGTCCAGGCCAAAAAGTCCAGTGCCTAGGAACATCTGAGTGCCTGGATGCTTGGGAACTCTGTGATGTCCATCAGGACTGTAAAGATGGGTCCAACAAAGCACATTGTCCCCAGAGCCACTGCCTCGCTGGGCAGTGGCAGTGCCAGAACAAGGTGTGTGTCATGGAGAGCTGGAAGTGTGATGGTATCAACCACTGTGGTGACGACTCAGATGAGGAAGCCTGTGGTGAGTCTGGCTACCCTACTTGTGTTTCAAGGGCAGGTTGTACTATGGGGGCTGGTTTTTGCAAGTTGCAATTTAATTCCTACAACAGAGACTGCCATCCTATATTTAAAATCAGGATGTTTCTTAGCAATAGCCCACATGAAGTTATCCATGGAAATATAAAGTGGTGCTTGGATAGAAATTCTTGCAGTGGATACTCTGAGCATGGCTGAGAATGTTCTCACTATTTAATTATGGTCAATCTGTAGAACAACCAACACAAGTCTGTGAAGGAGGCCTACTGCCAGATGATGCCCACCCTTGTGTAGTGAATATGGAAGGGGACAATTCCTCATTAAGGGAGGATTCCCCTCTCTGCAAAAAACTCGGCAGGAGCTACATTTCTGTTGACCTTATACACATAATACAGTGGTTCCTCTGCCTTCTTGGTGAACCATAATCCCATTCCATCTTTTTTAGAGTTAAGTCTACAATATTTAATGTATTTAGAGTTTAATTGTTTTTAATAAGGTGGGAACTAGTTTCTCAAGAGAATAGTTTTCGAAGTCAAATGGTAGCTGACTGTAATACTATTTCAACTACAACCATTTAATACTAGACCAGTCAATTTTAATACTGTTTAAGCTCAGTGCCCAGAAGTCTCAATGTTTTCATGATCAAGTCACAGGTCCTAATCCCCTAAAAAAATCTGTGTGAAAAAATATAACTTACTTTTCTGATTTGAATTATGATGGGTTATAGAAATATTACCACTTTACCCACTTAAAGTGTTGTCTATTACTACCCCTCCACACGAATATTAATGCAAAGAATGCCTAACTTCCTACACAGCTTTCTGTCCAGAAGGCACAGTTAGATGTGATGAAGGGAAGTGCATCCGAGAATCTTTGATGTGTGACGGGGAGGCAGACTGTGCAGACGGCACCGATGAACCCGCCACATGTGGTAAGAAACCAATAGCTTAGTTTAAGGTGGGAGGTGGGAAAGTAGGATTAAGTGACTTAATGCCTTAGTTATCATAAGGTTCTATTCTCTGAGAGGATTCTTGGACTACAATTCACATATTAACAATTATCTTTCAAGGATAGACTCCTTACATTTTATAATTTCTAGACCCTAGCTTTGGTCTTTTCAATGTGAACACACGGTTAAGCTGTAAACCCAGACTAATCTCATTTTGTAGTTTTAGGGAGATGCACTAGCTAAACACTTCAAACTGTATTGTTTCTGCGATTCTGGTATAAAGCCACAGATGTGTCTTTATCGTTGTCAAAACAAGATCGTATCTTCCATTTAGGCTTACCCATCTACAGCAGTGCTACTCAAATCACACCAATTCAGAGATCCTGCTTGTCTTAGTTACTTTTCTCTTTGGTGAGACAAAATACCTGACACCCAAAGTTAAAGGAGGAGAAGTTTATTTAGCTCACAGTTTGTAGAGGTTTCAGTTCATAATTGTCTGGCTCCAAGGCAGGGTGGCATGGCAGACAGGCATTGAAGAGGAGAAGCAGTTCATGGCAGGTAGAAGATAGCAAGGAAGAATATAATTGGAGTGCAGATCCCTTAGAGTGCCTCCCAGTATTACTGTGCCCTCTTATTAAAGTCCATGGAAACTACAACAGCCTAATCCAGGCAGAATGACAAATGGTCCAAAACCTTCAGGAATGAAAGTATGGGTCACTCCACCTGGGAAAGAACCAAGAGCTGCTGAACTGCTTCCTAAAGGTCAAGGGAATACAGAATGGGTAGTAGAAGAAGGCCTGGAGCTCACTGCAGTGTCCCAAGCAAGTCCATATTAGGAGGCCAATGACTCTGCAATGGAAGGCTGAAGGGTCTTCACTGGAAGCCAGGAGTTGACGCCCAAGACTGGAGCTCCTCTGAAGAAACAGAAGCAGATCTGTCCTTCTTCATTTCCACTTTACACTATCCAGCCAACAAGCAGCTCTAGAGCAGGTCTTCCACACCCTAGGGTGTGGAATTGCTGAGCCAATTTAGTTGAGCTTCTCTTACTGGAGTTGACACAGTCAGTCAACCTCACACTGCTATAGGGACCCTTGCAAATCTCAGTGCACACAATTTCTTTTGTATACATTCAACAAGTTCAAATTTATATGTTCAGAGATTTTATGATTCAAAGCAACTTTGCAAATTGAGTACAAAGAAAATGTAACACCAATAGAAGCTAAGGTAACCATTTTGCAAAGTCTTACTGATTGAGAAGCAAATCATTTATTCAAGGTATAGAATATTCTAAAAATATAACAGAGAAAGGGCCCAGAAAAAAATTTTTGTGGCAAGGAGGGAGCAGCATCTCTGACTTTTTGACTCTTCTTGTTCTCATTGCCGGATTCACTGCTAGTTCTGGTGGGGAAAGGGGAAAGTGGGAATCCTTCCCCGAGTCAATCATTTCTCTGTTAATTTCCTCCCAAAATCTTACCTTACATGTGCATGATGAAACCTCTTTAGAGTCATTAAAGTCTTTCAAAGGATTGTTGTAGTAAAGGAAAACAAATAAGACATGTGAAAAGCATAAACAACGTATAGGCTTCTGGTCCTACATAGATAATTCATTAGAACTCATAAATCAATATACCGATTCCTGACATAGGGGTCCCAGTCATCACACATTCCAGAGAAAGTAGGCCAGAGGCTGCTGTCCCCTCTTCAGGAGAACAATAAAAACCCCAGCTGTTAAAATTGTGCAGACTCGCCTTGGGAAGAAATGTGGCTTCCCTGCTCCTGGGATCCCTTGATTTCCCTCTTCTACAGGTCCACTTTCCTAGATTGGCCAGCAGGTCAGAGGTTGTTCATAAGCAGTCATGTGTTCCTGGGATAGGTATAGAAGGGACATAGCACATACTTGTTTTTAAGATGATGGATCTCCACTGTGTTTGGCTCCTTTGACCACTGCTCTGTCTCTACCAGGCAGAAACTGCTCTCTGGAGACTGGGGGCTGTGAGGGGCTGTGTAGTGACACGGCCTGGGGCGTCCGGTGCTCCTGCGGATCAGGGTGGCAGCTGCAGCCTGATAGGAGGAGCTGTGCAGGTCAGAAAGCATTGGACTTCCTTTTAAAAGCATTTTTATTGACTTATACACAATGTAGATGTTACCAGTTTAGCCATTTTAAGGGTACAGTTCATTGGCCTTAAATACATTCATAATGTCGTGCAACCATTCTCCTCCCTTCCCTTCAATCCTTCTTCCCCTCTCCCTTTGCTTTCTTTCTTTTAAGGCTGAATAATTCTGTTGTATGCATAACCTGCATTTTGTGTACCTATGTTATTTGTTAATAGAACAGACTTTTAGCTGTTGTAATAATATTGGTATGAACATTGGTGTACAAATATCTGTTTGAATCCCTGCTTTCAATTTTCCGGGTTCATGTATCAGAAGTGGAAGTGCTGGATCATGTAGTAATTCTATGTTTAACTTTTTGAAGAACAATCAAACTTTTTTTCACTGTATATTATTTCTGCCAGTTATGCACAGGGTTCTAGTTTCTCCACATCTTTGCCAATGCTTTTGTCATCCTCTTTTGTGAGAATTGCAGGTCAACTATTACCTAATAGGAAAATGTGAAGTTTAGCACCTTTCTCTTATGGACCTTAAAGGGTTTCTGTCATGGAATCAATACAGTTGTCCCTGCACTGCTATGCTTAAGGTCCCTAGCAGAGTGTCAGGACAGACTCTGACATTAGAGCCCACTGTGTTTATCCTTGCCTATTCCTACTAGTGGACCTCCTGCAAGTCACCTGATCCTTCAAATCTCATTTCTCCCATTTGGAAAATGAGATTATGCTGCCACATTGGTTAAAATAAATTTTGCATATCTTTGCTTTGCAGCAATAATTTTTGAAAGTTATGGCCGTTACACTATAATACTTATGTACAAAAAATAAAGGATTGTATTTTAGGTTAAAATGTAACTAGAGTAACCCCTTGGCTTAGAACGTGAACATCCCTGAACCTTGTCGATAATTTCTACTCAGTGCTCTGTCTCCATGGCTCCCTGTCTAACCCCCCCACACTCAGGAAGATATAAGAAAAAAGATACTGATTTATTAGGTAGCATTAAAATTATATTCTACATGATTTTTATATTTAAAAATTCATCAATTGTTATGAGCTTTTTAATATTTAAGTTTTATTATTTTAATAATTATTTTTATTAATTAAATAAAATCAATAATCTAGCTTATTACATGTATTAATTCCTCATTGGAAATATGAAGTCAGTACGTGGTCATGACCCTTGGAAGGGTCTAGGTTTAATACATTTTCCAGCTCAGATTCCTGCAGAGTCCTTCTTAGGTTTCTGACCCATTATAAGACTCAGCTGGCCATGAGCTTGACTATAACCAGATACTGATTATTCTTCTCCCAGGATGGAAGGGCTTTATTCCAGTGTAGGGCCCTGTGAATTTGGAAGAATGATGTTTCCTCAGCCTTACAGCCAATAAACCATTTTCCTTCATGCTAAATCAATCAATCAATCAATCAATCAATTCTCATAGTTTTGTGACTCACAACAGGTCCCTGCCATGAAGCTTTGAGAAATGATTGCATTTTATCTCAATTCTGCCAGGTTGGCTGGTGGGACTCAAGCCTTTTCTATATTCCTATAACTCCAGCAGGGAACTCTGAAGTAGACTCTGGCTGGCTTGGCAAGTGGTACATCTCAGGAATGCTGCTAGGATATCATGGATCAGTATTCCACAGCAGCTAAACATCTGGGGTTCTTATACTGAAATTTCTACTGAGTTACATTCATGTGAATGGAAACTCTATGGCAGCCAGGATTGCCTATTTCAGCATCTGACACAACGCTTTTCACATAATATCTATTGGGATAACATTGGAAAAATGTCTCAAAAGAACAAAACACAAGAGAAATTGTTCCTAGATTGCCTCTAACTCACAGTTCTCTGTCATCAGATATAGATGAGTGCTCTGTGGCGTATGGACCTTGTGACCAACTATGTCATAATACACCAGGCTCTTACTCCTGTGACTGTGTTCAAGGCTATGAACTTTACAGTGGAAGCAAATGTCGAGTTATAGGTGAGTTTCTGTACATGAAGCAGAGCCTAGCTCCCACTCTACTCTTAGCAGCAATTAGAGAGAAAAGTGACATAGATGATTCATTTTAAAGTCTAGTACTAGAGATGACTCTATTCTTTCCATAAAAAAGTTGCTGTTATAACGTTCATAGCCCAATCTGAGTGTCTGCAATATTAAGTTTCTTTAGCATAGCTAAGTTTCGCTGTAGGCTACAGAGCTAGGTGTTCCAGAGACAGAGTCCGACAGAGTCCTAACTTGGCTTGTGCTTTTTTGCCACTGGAACTCACTTACTCTTGGGTGCTATCTACCAGGCATGGAAAGGCATGCCTGTCTTGTGAATGGTGAATTAAAACAAATCAGTAAATTTTTAAAGATTAATTTCACTGTGTTGGAGTTCAGAGGAAAGAGCTATCTAAGGTGGTCAACTAGATCTTCTCTGAGTACACTTAGTCCAGACATTAGGGATAAGTAGATTTGGGCATGGGAGATGAAACAGTATCTTTAGTTAAAAGGAAAGGTACAAAAGAAAGCTGCAAAGCAACATGTCACTCCTTTCCTTTTATTGCAGATGGTGATGTTAAAATTCTTATAGCAGCAGATCAAGAGCTTGGTGTCCTGGATCAAAGAACAGGGATCTATGAGGGTCTGATACCTATAAAAACAAGACCTAGTTCTGTGGCATATGACCTGGAAAGAAGCATGTACTTCTGGGTAGATAAGACCCTCAATGTGTTTGTCTCTGGGAAGCCAAACCCTGTTCCCCTCTATCCAGGTATATTTTTTAGGCACCCAGAGCCATAGTTTTTAAAGCTCCTTGTGTTAGGCAGCTTGGCATTACTGTAACAAAAGTACTTGAGATAACTAAAAAAGAATTTCTTATGTTGGTTTTCACTTTTGAAGATTTCAGTCCACAATTAATTGGCCCCACTGTTTTGGGGCCTGTAGGAAGGCAATAACATATGATGATAGAAGTGTGTGGTGGAGGAAGTTGCTCACTTGCTGGCAGCTGGGAAGCACAGGGAGAGAAAAAGACATCAGGACTCCACAGTCCCCTTCAAAGGAGTGCCCCCCATGACCTAAAACAGCCCACTGGGCCCCACTTCTTAGAGGTTTCTACTATTTTCTAGTAGCACCAGAGCTGGAATCAAGCCTGTAATAGGTCCTTTGGGGGACATCCCATATCCAAATGACAGGATGACTTCAACATTGCATAGGAAGCATATATATTTATCTGGCCCACCTCCTATGACTCACTTGTCTTGGAGCATAAGAGATTAAAGGTCAATTTGAGACAAGACTGCATTAGTTTGGCTCTATAGGAACATTAGCATAACTTGGAACATGAAATTGCTATAATTAAGCAGTATAAAAGTGTTGGGTTGGAGCCTCTGGCAAGCATCAGTCTCACTCCCAGAACAAGATATGTGATCTCAGGCAAGTTCTTAACTCCTTAGACCTGTCCACTAAAAGATGAAGGTACTGTTACTTGTCTCATGAGGTAAGTGTGGAGGCTAACCTAGAGAGTGTGTATGAAGAAGGGGCTGTCATGGTTCTAGGAATATAAAAATGCTCTGATAGCGACTCAGGGATAGATTCAGCACAGTTTCCCTGAGACTTACAAAGACCATTGCCTAAAGTAAGGTCCCATTCTGTTGGGTCCCTTGATTACCCCTCTTCTCAGGTCCTCCTATTCCCCTGCAGCCTCTGAATGGCCTAGAGCATCTATGGCTTTATTCCTTGGATCCCATTTATCTCCCTGTGTAGCTTGACATCCAAAGACATAGAAAAGTGTCAAAGTCTTTGTTCTTAAGGTAAGAGAGGCATAGATAATGCAAAAACATGACACTGTGTCCTGTGTCCCCAGAACTTACAACAATGAACAGTATCTCTCTGGACTGGTTCACGGGACAGTTATATTGGGCCAGCAGCTTTGCAAGGGCCATTTGTGCTGGCTTAAGTGATGGCAGAGGCTATGTTAAAATCTTGGAAAAAGATGTTTTGCCAGAACAGCTAGTAGTATTTCCTGCAAAGAAGTAAGTTATGTTTATTTTGGAGTATATCCAAAATCACTGGGCTTTTTTTTTTCACTTTACTAGTACATGTTTGCAGTACATAATGATTTCATTCACTGTAGGAAACTGGTACATGTACAAAACATATTTTGATTCTTTTTTTTCCCCTTTCTTCCATCTCCTTTTATTTTTCCAGCATCAAATTCATTTAAGTTAATATAAGAGTATATCAGCCTTTTTCAATCTAGATTGCATTTTTTCCCACAAATTTTTTATTTTTGAATCCTAAGTTGAATTTTATGGAGCCAAATTTTTCAAAGTCTAAACTATTGGAGCAGAAATCTCCAGCATCATCAGCAATGCATGATTTGAGGCCCACATGAGAATGTTAAAGGGAAAATGTGGTTGAGAATAATGTGCACATGCATGCAAGTGAGGGGCCTTTCACCTTGTGCTGCTGCTATCTACAGGTACCTGTACTGGGTAAATGGAGGTGGGAAAGGCAGAAGGACCATTGAAACTGCAGGAATGGATGGCTCTGACCGGAAGGTGCTTGAGGTGGTCACCACCCAGCAGCCTTTAGGACTGACGCTGGACCATGTGACTGGCAGGCTTTACTGGATCAGTGGATATAAGCAGGTACCATACACGGGCCCAGAGGAAAAGGTAAACTCTTTTGGTAGAAGCTTGGCATGACTCTGCTGGTAAGTATAGCATTCTCTTAAGTCTTGCATCAATGCTGTAAAGTACCTTCTGTCCATGAAATCAGAAAATCAAGAAATAACTGCACAGCATGTTGGGCAGAGCAGACTGCATCCACCTAGACTGGGAGGTTTGATGTGATTATCTTAATCATACAGTCTAACAGTGTTGGGATTTCCTAGTAGTATTGATCATGCTCTATGTTGTACCGAGAATGCAAAACCTTTTAAGATCAGTGACTCCTCCTTGGAAACATATACTTACTGGGATACTTCTACTCAAATTTCTATGTCTTCATATCACAGGTCATGGTATCCTATTTTTGGAAATGCCAAAGTAAAAGACCAGCATGACATAGTGGCTAAAGACACAGGCTGTGAGGCATGTTGTCAGGCCTATTATTTCCCAGTTGTGATTTTGGCTAATTATGGTGCACTTTAAGCCTTCATTGCCCTCTCTTAAAAAAAAATGATAGAACACATACCTCCTAAGGTAGTTGGAGTGAAAAGATTTGGTATGGATGTGGACAATAACTTGTAGTAACTACTTGTATAATACATCTGTGGCCCCAGTTTGTTCCAGACACTATCCAATATGCTTACCTTTGTATTTCACTCCATGAATCTTAAGATGAATTTATCTCTATCAGGTTGATATCACATAGAGATATTTAATCAGTGTCCAAGTGACTGCAGTAACATTGTTGCCAGGACTTGCTGATGCTACCATGTTCTCACATGACTCTAATCCTTCAGTCCATAGAGACAGTGAAAGTGGATGGCAGTGGGAGGTACAGCTTTCCAAAGAACCTAGAAGGTGAAGACCCACTAGGACTAGCTGTGTTTGAGAACTCGTTCTTCTGGGCAAATAAAACACAGCTGTTTCATACCTCACTCTACAGCCAAGAGGAGAGAAGAATGTTGCTGGATGCATCCATATCTGCTTTTTCCATCCTCCACAGGTCCCTGCAGCCCCCAAGTAAGTAAATGTCTGTAAATGCCTTTCTCCAGAAGGAATTTTCTTTTACCTCGCGGTACCTGTAGTGTTAACTCCCCTAAGTAAAAGGGCTTGGACCTGGTACTCCAGAAATTCTGTAGTGCTCTTTTCAGAGAAAGTGGCTTGCTTTTGAGTGCTGGTGAATCAAAATGCACACTGACCTGAGACTGCCTAAGGTGCGACCTCAGTGTGGGGTTGGAACTTGCTCTTTTGAGGCAGGGAAATGTTATAGGTTCCAGACTTACTTAGACTTACTTAGGACTTCTAAGTAAAATGAACTGAACAGAAGCATCCTCAGAAAAACTTATTCCAAGGTGTATGCCGTGAGTATGTTCAAAGCATCAGCCAGATTTTAAAGGTCTGAAATGTAGAAAACAGGACAATAAGCTCACACAGGGGCAGGAGCAGCTCACTCACTGGCATGTCAAATGGTAAAAGGGAAATTGAACAAAGCCCAGCATCCTGCTTATAGAAGGAAGTCAAATGTTCACTGGTGGAAAGATAATAGCTGTTGTTAGTCTGAAATTACATTAGGTTCAACTCAGATAATCCTTTCTCATGGGTCTGAAAAACAACCAAAGGCAAGAGCCTAGACCACTCTAAGAAAGTCTTCCATAGAGCAAATGAAACAGTCACATTTGCTTAACTCCAGGGGAGAAGATACTGTTGGCTGAAGTTTTATTGGCTTTAGTTAAAGTAGGTAAGTAATTGTCTCTATCAGGAATACATTTAGAAAACCATTGGAGTTCAAAGGTCAGCATACCTAAGAAAGTAACAGGTGTATTCACATTCCCCTTAAGGCAAAAATGGCTTAATTCTTCTTCAGTATTAAGTTGTGAACTAGTATGGATAAGTAAATCAGAAAATGTATTTAATTTGTTTCTGTTTAAAATTAGGCAGACACCCAGCTTGTGTTCCAGGGGTTTGCAGCCACTTGTGCCTCCTGTCTCCTGTCCATCCCAAGGGCTATAAGTGTGTTTGCCCAGAGGGAATGTTTCTTTTACCTTCTGGTACATGCAGTGGTAAGTGCCCCAGGTAAAAAGGTCTTGGCTCAAGGAGGCATGTTCCTAGGGTACAAAAATCCTACAGTTTCCGTTTCAGAATCAATCACCATTGTTCTAGCAACGTACTTTGATGACCAGTTTTGTTATGAAAACATCTTGATTCATTTTGTTCTTTTTATTGTGTTAAAATATATGTAATAGAACACTTAGCATTTTAACCATTTTAAGTGTACTACAACATTCATTACATTCACACTTTTGCACCACCATTCCCACCATCTATGTCCAGAATTTTTTTTTTGATTAAACTACTGATTTTTATTTATTTTAATTTTTTTCATAAGTTTATTGGTACATTTTAAGTATACAATACAGTTACATTCATCATTGGGACCTTGTTCCTTTACATGATGTATCTTGGTTCTTATTTTTTCCCCATTCCCCTGCCCTCTCTTCACCCCTCCACCCTTCCCTATTTACAAGGACTTTGTTTCCATTTTTTTCCTTTTCTCATATTTTTCCCCTTCTTTTCTTTCCCCTTCCCCTCCCACTTCCCCAATTCCTTTAGACCTTTTCTTCCTATTTCATAATATCAATTATACATTTTGATCCTTATTTACACTTTTAGTTTTTCACACCAGAGAAACTCTTAAGTGAAATAAATAGGACACACATGTGTAAATACAGAATAGTTTCTCTGGTGTGTCCAGAACTTTTTCATCTTCCCAAACTGAAACTTTTTTCCCATTAAACATGAACTTCCCATTTTCTTCTCTCTCTAGTCCTGCCAACTGCATTCTGTCTTTTGTGTTTAGACATTTGCATATTGTAGGTACACATTTAGTGAAATCATGATACTTATCCTTGGGGTCTGTCCTGTGTCACTTAGAATGATGTCTTTGAGATTCATCCATGTTGCAGCTTGTTTCAGATTTTCTTCCTTTTTAAGGCTGAATGATATTCCCCTATATGCAGATACCATACTTTATTTATTCATCTTTTGTTGGAAATTGGGTTTGATAGTTTTAAAGCAAGAAAAACTAGCTTATGCCATTAAGTTTTACCTGAAAAATTTGCAAATAAGTTAGTAAATAAATACATCCTCTGCTCTTAATGACTGCTATATATTCTTACATGTTTGTAAGCAGTCTCTATTTCAATTTTGGTTTCCTTCAATATTGTTAACATAATTTCTCTATGTTGCTATTTTCTCTTCAAAATATTACAAGGTATATAATCCATTGAACACCTCTATCCAATTTAATTGACTTTTTCTGTAAAATATTGAGGATTTAAGAAAAATAAATTTTTAAAATGTGGTTATATTCTAACAACATTTTAAAAATGCCATGGCAAACTCATCAGTCTAAATTTTATTTTAAGGATTATATATTGTATACAATTAAGCTCAAACACCCAAGTAACTTGGTAACTATTTTAAAGCATCTATAATTCTTTAGTAGTGAGGCATTATTAAATCAAGCAGAGCTGTAGTTCTGCCCTCATCCTCGTGGCTCTGTCTTAGCTTTTCAGCAGAAACTCAGGAAACTCAGTTCCTTGGAAAAGATAAGCAACACAGCATTTGCCCAAATGCCTCATTTCTCTAGAAGCTGTGGCACCTGTATTATTCACACATCTCAGAAGCAAACTTGCTATGCCCCCTTTCTATGGGTACCTCAAGCTGATATAAGGAGGAAGTGTGGACTTATCTGATAAATGACCAAATGGAAAATCTCTCTTTTTCCTTTCTAGAGTTAAAACTTGTATTTTCTTCTGGTAAACGCCTGTATTTGCTGAAAGTGGGCTCTATGGGAGCTGCTATAGAGAGAACTCTAATTCAAGAGCACCCTGAGAATGTCTATTTGTTGGATATTGACTGGAAAAGGAATTTCATCTATTGGACGAATGCACAGGGACACCTGGTCTACTCCACTGGGTATTCAGGACAAAAGCAAGAGATTTGGACACAGCATACAGGTACTTTGGGGGTGGCCATTTCATTTAGTTTTTTTTATTCTTCCCTTTATCTTATGGTTCTAAAATAATTATGGTTGAAAAAAAATTACCTATAGCCAATCTAAATCAATCTTCATGACAAGTAATATCAATTTAAGTATCAAATATCTCTGCTTTACCATTATTTTTAGGAGGTCTGTGCAGAACATCAGAAGGTAGCCATGATTTGGGAAACAGACGTGTAGTAATAAGGTTTTAAAATTTTTACTCTTCATCCCTTAAGTCAGGGGAGGAGAAAAATGGGCCTTTTATTTCTTAATTTTGCATTGCAGATTTCTCCTCAGCTAATTTAAAAGTAATTTGAAATGCAGATTTGGAGAATGAGTGGATATTTTAATATTGTAATATATACTTTCTCTCTCCTCCCACATTCCACACCCGGTTTCAAGTTTCCTATACTCAGCCTCAATGTAAACAGGTACTTTTTAGAGGAGAACTGAGATGAGTCTGGAGTGAGTAATCAGTTGTTTGAGTTCTGGTATCCTGGGTGTGGTGCCAAGTACTAAGGATAGGTTTTCCTGCAAGTGCTGCATTAAAATATATGTCCCTGGGACATCCTTCAGGGAACTGTCACCCACTCATTATCTGGTGCCCAGCGCAATGACTGACTGGCACATTGAAGCTTCAAATACTTGTCTTAGGAAACAGTCAGGAGAAACTGAAATGGGCAGTGATCTTTTCGTGTATCTGATGGCTGGTTAGGGAATCCTTCACTTGAATATTTTCCCACTTAATTAAGTTTGGTTTTTTTTTTTTGGTACCGGGGATCGAACTTGGATCCTTGCGCTTGTGAGGTAGGCAGTGGAACCACTGAGCTAAATCCCCAGCCCGTCCCAGTCCCACTTAATTAAAATGCTGCCTGCTCCCAATGTGCTGACTAATTGGTTTCTGTGTCACAACTATCATATCAAGGATTTATAAAAGACTGACATTTTCATCTGAGCTGGCTCTTGTATGGAGTATGGAGATCCTGTGGCCATGATAGTCAGGTTTCTATCAGGACAACACATACTTGAGGTAATCAGTATATAAAGAAAAAAGTTAAATAAACAAATTTTAAAAAGGGTTTATTTTGGCTCAGAGTTTTAGAGGTTCTGTTCAGGTAGATTCTTTGCTTTTAGCCCTCTTGTAGGGGTGATGAATGGCAATGGTAGAGGTAAACAGCAGAGCAAAACTCTTGCCTCAGGCCCAAGGAGCAAAAAAGCAGAGGGGAAAAGGCTGGAGTCTCACAATCCCCTTCAAGGGCACACTCCCAGTGACCTAAAGACCTTTCACTAAGCTCCAAATCTAAATGTTCCACCACCTCCCAGTAGTGCTAAGATGAGGAAAAATCCATAAGACATGATAATTGGGAGATTTTCAAGAACCAAACTCTGGTGATGGCTAAATCCTGGACAGAGGCAGCCTGGCCTTTTATATGCAGTAATTATAGCATCAGCCCTGCTATCTAGATCTGTTCACAGATTGCAGTTTCCTTACAATCTGTGAGCTTGTAGCTTTCAGCTTATCTTTACATCAAAATGTATTGGTGTCACTGTTTTCTCTTGGTTGTATTAATCTTGTCCTCATATGAAAATTGAAGCTAAAGAATACAGATGAAATTCCTAGTCAAAAATGAAAGAGCCTCAAAATTCTGGTTTAGAAAGATTAGTATGTCTGTAGGAACCAATGTAGCATGGCTCAGAGAACATTGTGTGACCCTGGAAACTGGACTGTCCACCTCAGATCAGCAGAGGGCCAAGGCTGACTCTAATTCCAGAGCCGAGTACACATTCTCTGAGACCAGAGAGGCAAGAGCTTAACACAGATAGCCAGTCTGTCCTTACCATGTCACCAACCTCAAAGCATTTCTCCTTTCTTGGGAGTAAATCAATGGATATGGGGAGAATTCTGAAGTGTAATTCTATGGAAGTTCCTTCTCATGAAAATATGAGGAATAGTATAGAAATGCTCCAACTCTAACCCTCTGTGAAAAGGAAGAACTTACAGCACATTAAATTAAGTCCCATGTTCTGGCATCTCTGTTTGCACCCCTGCCGCACTTTACATCTTTCCTCTTTGTCTAATTCTCTCAAAATTAACATTTGAGTTATTACTATAATATTGAATGATGTACTACAAAAGAGTTAACAACTGTCTTTCTGAGGTTGGAAGTGTGCATATATATGCCAAAATGTGTTTATAATAAAGCTTACTATTATACGGGGTGTGTAACCTACAACCTACAAATAATAAAAGGTACGATGTTCTTTATTGTAAATTTCTGCATGGTTATTTTAAGTGATTGTCACAGGATACTTTTATATAGAATTCTTGGAATGGAAGCCAATCTATGGTTGTAATTCAAGCTAGACTTAACAATCTCTGAATAAATGCTTCCATAATATCTGATTAGGTAATGAAGTCATTGAGAATAGTTTTTACTCAAATGAAGGTTGATGCTTTTGTTTCCAAAAGCAAGTGAGATAAAAGTGAAGTAGTGAAGATTTGTTGTAATTAGTTCTTCAACAGGATAACTTCTTTGCTGAGTTGGATAAGAAAGTTCAAATAGTAAAAAAAGATTTCCTCAACTTTTTGTGATATTTAGAGTGTAATGGCTGTAAATATCACACCCGTAAGATTAATCTGAATTATTAATACTCTTTCATTTTCTTAAACCTAAATGATGAAAGGTTGGCATATTTTTTGTGTAAAACACATGACAGTGTATATTTTAGGCTTGGTGGGCACTCTGCTATTGTATCATGAAAGTGACCATAATGTGTGATTGATTGGCTACATTCCATTAAAAGCTATGTACAAAAACAAGCAACAGGCCAGATTTAGCCCAAGAGCAATTATTTTGCCATTCCCTCTTCTACAAAACAAAATTTAAGAAAAAAAAATCAAACCCTGATTTGTAGTGCTTACAATTTTCATGACAGATTTTGAGATGCAGTATGACATTACTGAATATGGAGAGATGAGATTGGAGATCAATAGGAAAAGAAACCGCAAGAATTTCATAAACACATGCAAATTGAACAACACATTTCTGAATAATCAATGGGTAACAGAGGAAATTAAAGAAGAAATCAGACAGTTCCTACAATTAAATGACAATGACAATACAACATGTCGGAATATATGGGACACAATGAAAACAGTCTTGTGAGGGAAATTCATAGCAGTGAATACTCATATTAGGAAAACAGAGTGAGCTCAATTAAACAACCTGATGCTGAACCTCAAGCTCCTAGAAAAAGAAGAGGAGGACAAAGCAAGGCTCATACAAGGGAGGTAATTATAAAGATCAGAGCAGAAATCAATGCAATGGAGACTAAGAGAATGATACAAAAACTCAATGAACCCAAGAGTTTGTTCTTCGAAAGAATCAACAAAATTGACAAACCCTTAGCCAACCTTATCAGAAAAAGGAAAGAAAAGGCCCAAATCCGTGCAGTTAGAAATGAAAAGGATGAAATTACAATGGACCCAGCAGAAATCCAGAGGATCATCAATACCTACTTTGAGAACCTATACGCCAATAAGATGGAAAACATAGAAGAAATGGACAGATTCTTAGATATGTATGAATTACCAAAGTTGAATGAAGAAGACCTAAAAATTCTAAACAACTCAATATCAATCAATGAAATTGAAAACATAATTAAAAACTTACCAACTAAGAAAAGCCCAGGTCCTGATGGCCTCACTGCTGAATTCCACAAGACATTTAGAGAGGAACTGCTGCCACTACTGTTTAAACTCTTTAATGAAATTGAAAGGGAAGCAATACTCCCAAATTCATTCCTGGAACCAAGCATCACCTTGATCCCAAAGCAGAGAAAGACCCAACCAAAAAAGAGAACTATAGGCCAATCTCACTAATGAACATAGATGCAAAAATCCTTAATAAGATACTGGCAAACAGAATGCAGAAGATCATAGAGAAGATCATACATCCTGACCAAGTGTGATTCATCCCAGGGGTGCAGGGATGGTTCGATATATGCAAATCAATAAATGTAATACACTAGATCAAAAAAGCCAAGGACAAAATCCATATGATCATCTCAATAGATGCAGAAAAAGCATTCGACAACATCCAGCATACCTTTATGATAAAAACCCTACAAAAAATTGGAATAGATGGTCTCTACCTCAATCTGATAAAAGCCATCTATGATAAAACAACAGCCAATATCACAGTAAATGGTCAAAAACTGAAAGCCCTCACACTAAAATCAGGAACAAGACAAGGATGTCCACTATCACCACTCCTGTGCAATATAGTTTTGGAGACATTACCCAGAGCAATTAGACAAGAGAAAGAAATAAAAAGAATATAGGAAATGAAGAAGTCAAATTGTCATTATTTGCAAATGACACAATATTCTATATAGAAGACCCCAAGAACTCCACCAGAAGTCTAGACTTAATAACCAAATTCAGTAGAGTAGCTGGATACAAAGTCAACACACAAAAATCAATAGATTCCCTCTACATGAACAACAGACTCACTGAGAGAGCAATAGGGCAAACAATTCCTTTCACAATAGCATGCAAGAACCTGAAATACCTAAGAATCAACCTAATGAAAGAAATTAAAGACCTCTTCTCTGAAAACTAGAGCACTCTGAAAAGAGACATTGAAGAGGATATCAGAAAATGGAAAGACATCTCTTGCTCCTGGGTAGGAAGAATCAACATAGTGAAAATGGCCATACTTCCAAAACTACTATATAGATTCAAAGCAATCCCAATTGAAATGGCAGCAGAATACTTCACAGACCTTAAGAAAACAATCCAAAAATTCATTTGGAACAAGAAGAGACCTAGAAGAGCAAAAGCAATTCTAAGCAACAGAGACATGGCAGACAGTATCGCAATCCCCAACTTGAAACTATACTACAGAGCTACTGTGATAAAACAGCATGGTACTGGCAAAGAAACAGACCTGAGGACCAGTGGAACAGATTAGAAGATGCAGAAACAACCCCAGACACACTCAGCCACCTCATCTTTGACAAAGGAGTCAAACACCCTCACTGGAGGAAAGATAGCCTCTTTAAAAAATGGGGCTGGAAAATTGGGTTTCAATTTGGCAAAGATTAAAACTAGACCTATATCTCTCACCATGCACTAAACTAAAATCAAAATGGATTAAAGATCTAAATATAAAAACAGAAACACTGAACCAGCTGGAACAGAGTTTAGGTAGAACTCTTCAAGATACTGGGGTAGGAAAAGATTTTATGAACAAAACCTCAGTTGCCCATGAACTAGCACAAACAATCAACAAGTGAGATCTCTTCTTATTAAAAGCTTCTGAACAGCGAGAGAAACCACCAACAGTGTGAAGAGATCACCCACAATATGGGAAAAAATCTTCACCTACTTTTCCTCAGACAAAGGTCTACTATCTAAAACCTATAAAGAACTTAAAAAAATTAGATCTCCCACATTTAAAGACCCAATCCAAAAATGGATATCTGAAATGAACAGACATTTCTCAGACAAAGAAGTAGAAATAGCAAATAAGCATATGAAAAAATGTTTCACATCATTGGTCATTTGAGAGATGCAAATGAAAACAACATTGAGATTTTACCTCACCCCAGAAAGAATGGCTGCTATCATGAAATCAATGAATAACAAATCCTGGCAGGGCTGTGGCTCCACTGCTGGTGGGAGTGTAGACTGGTGCAACCACTGTGGAAATCAGGATGGAGGTACCTCAAAGAACTAGGACTGGAAGTCCCATTTGACCCATCTATTCACCTGCCGGGTATCTTCCCCAAAGAATTAAAAGAATCATACCACAGTGACAAATGTGCACCCATGTTCATAGCTTGTAATAGCTTGTTCACAGTTTGTAATAGCTAAAACTTGGAAACAGCCCAATTGCCAATCAACTGGGGACTGGATAAAGAAAATGTGGTTTTTCTATAAAATGGAGTACTACTCAGCTATAAAAAATAAGAAATTAGAGACATTTGTAGCTAAATGGATGCACATTGAGGAGATACTCTTATGTGAAATAAACAGGACACACATGTGTAAATACTGAATAGTTTCTCTAGTGTGAGAAACTGAAAATGTAAATAAGGACTAAAAGGTATAGTAGATAATGTGAAATAGGAAGAAAAAGGGCAAAGGGGAAGGGGACATGGGAAGGGTAGGGAAAAGGAAAGAAGGAAATGGAATCAATATGAGAAAATGTAAAAATGGAAACAAAGTCTTTGTAAATAGGAAGGGATGGAGTGGTTGAAGGGAGGGGCAGGGGAATGGGGAAAAATAAGAACCAAGAGTGATTATGTAAGGGTATAAATTTCCAATGAAATAAAAGTGAGGCGTAGAAATTAACCACCACCTCGTGATGGAATAGGGTTTTAAATGAGGCTCTCTGACCTGCTAGCCTGATGTTGCTCTCAACCTTTCTGTTAGATTGTATTCCAGAATAGCTCAGTTCCTAGTTTAGATCCACTTATATAGCTAGTGATAGTTAGTGTGAACAGGAATAAGAAGTGTTTTGAAGGTTAATTTCTAATTCAATTATTCACTTTTGAAAATGGATACTGTGACTTTTGTATACTTGATTTCTATCATATCCAGGTCTTTTGTTGTAAATTTCCTCACTGTCAGCTCATACGTTCTATCAGTGGTCTTCCACACCACTGTAGTGATGTCTGTCACCCAATCTTTGCTTTCTAACAGCGATTTGAGTTCTGGTCACTTAACATATAATTGATTTTCATACTGAACCTATGAGAAAAAGGAATGTAAATCTGAAGTTATAGATCAGCATTCAAACACAGGCTTTACCACTTGGACATCTAACCTACCAAATACAGGGAATGAATGCCTTCTGAAAGCCTCATATGAGGTCCTATGACAAGTTATCTGAACCAGAGTAGGCCCGATGAGGCTTCTGATGCGAAGAACTGTTGGCTTGTGAGGGACATATTTTTAAATCCTTGACTAACAACCCCCCCTCCTTCTAGTTTGAGTCAGTTCATGATTATATTTGAAAGCCCTTTGTAATGGAGTTACTTTTCCTCTGCAGTCTGCTCAGCAAATGTGGACATACCAACAGGGAATGTGTACTGGCTGCCCTGTGACCGAAGTGACATTCAGAAGACCACAATTCCTGGCAAGGACACACAAACCCTGTACAGCACAGGCAGCATTATACTGCAGCTGCTTCTCGATTGGCCAAGGAGGGCACTATACTGGGTGGAGAGTGGCAGCCACTTGCAAAGTATGACCCTCAATGGCAAAAACAGACACACAATCTGGAGAGGTACCTGGACGGCAGACACTCAGATGGCCTTAGACCTCAACGCAGCTAGCATCCTTTGGGGCAGCAAAGGGCTGGGTAAGACCTGTGCAACTAGTGCAGTGGGAAGAGATCCAAGGGAATGAGCAGCTCTGAATTTGTCTCTTGTTTAAAGTTACTAGTCCTTTTTTAAAATTTCTATTTTTTATTGTTGCCATTTTTGGATGCACTGGAGAAAATTTTGTTTTTAGTAGACACACAATCATGGTACATATTTGTGGGATGCACTGTGATATTTTGACACAGGTATGTGATGTGTAATGAGCAAATCAGGATAACTAGCATATATATCACCTCAAACATGTGTCATTTAAAAATTTTTTGTGGTGAAAACATTCAAAATCCTCTCTTCTGGTTATTCCAGTTATTTTAAGAACTAGTTAGGCAGAGGCTTTAACTCTAGTTTTAACAGTGGAAGTTCAGATAAGGCACTTACCTCAAACTCATCTCTTATCTGAAGGTCTAAGTTGGGGATTTAAAAGGTAGAAAATCTCAGACATAATATACCTAACAGCTTTTATGTACTTAATAGCTCTTTGTCATGTTTGGAATTTGTTTCTACTTCTATACATAGAAGTAATGGAAGCAAACTTCCATTGCAAAGGAGGGATGAAGTTATAATGTGCTATCAGGTGTAAGCCATTCCTTCATAGCTGATTTAGAGCATCTCATTCCCCGCAGGCCAGCCTCGAGGACTGGCAGGTAGATGCTGATGACTGAATATTTTCATATATATGAAAACTAAAAAGGCAGTAAAGTCATCTCTTTTTTGCCCTCAAGACAGACCAAAGCCCTTTGTTTTCCTGGAGCTTGAAATACATCATTGGGCTATCTTTCCAAGTAAAACTAAAACGTACAAAACTTGATAGGAACAGTACAAGCTTCATTTTAGTTTTGAGTTTTGAACTTCAATCAAATAGTACCCATGTACTGTATACCTTGATGGTCACAGATCACTTGCTTAGCATCATGTTCTAAGGCTTTGACTCTTCCTTAGGGCTGCAAAGTCTCAGTCTCTTGAAAAATAGAACCTACTCTTTGAACAAGTCCTGGAGTGATGGGCTTATAGCAGCTCACATACCCTACCTGGTGACCACGGACAAGGCAGCTCTTGTGCTGTGGAACAGGAAGACTCTGGAGCCCTTCTCCGTGCTGAAGGAGCCACACATAAGGAAAATGGTCATCTTGGCAGAAAACCAGGAAGTGCCAGGTGAGTCTTCCTTTTCAGGTTACTCTTCAATATCCACCTTACCTGCCCTTCCTCGGATAAAATCCTGAGTACTGTGTCTGTATGTTTGGCACTTGTCCCAAATCACAATTGGGTATGCCATCTCCCTAGCTTGTCCATATTCTGGAAATATAAAAATAGAAAACATTTCTCAAAAGTTGTTAAATGACACATGTTTCTTAGCATTATTCAAAGAAGTTTGCACACCATTTCCTTTTGGAAATCATCCTGAACATTAGCGTATTCATAGCAGTTTGTCTGTCAGTAAAGAAATCCATTTAATTTGCACTAAACCAGTTTCCCACACTAATTTACCTAAGAATCTTTTTTTTTCTTTGCCATATAATGCATAACAAATAACATTTTTCAGGTTGAGTATTTCTTATCCAAAATGTCTGGGACAAGTGTTTCAGATTTTAGGTTTCTTTAAAATTATGGAATAAATATATTTGCATATGCATAATGAGCTATCCTGGGGGTTGTTTCATATACATGTTGCACACATAGCCTGAAGGTTATTTTATACAATATTTGTAGTGCTCTTATATTTTGACTATGACCTGTCACATGAGGTCAAGTAGAATTTTCTGCTTACAGCATCACACTTATACTCAGAAAATTTTAGTGCCGGGGATTTAGCTCAGTGGTTCCACCACCTGCCTTGCAGGTGCAAGGTCCCGAGTTTGATCCCCGGTACTAAAAAAAAAAAAAAAAAGCTCCAAGAAAATTTTAGATTTTGGAGCATTTAGATTTCTGGTTTTGGGATTAAGGATGCACACCCTATACCAGCAAGAGAATCATTCTTATTTTTGTTGAAGTTGTGCCAGTTTTTCAGATAAATCTGCTTAAAGCTTGGTTTACCTTTTCTTTTCTATATGTTTTTTGGCACAGTGCCAAAAATTCTGATCCTAGATCATGAGACAGAAAAAGAAAAATTTATATCATAGGTTTCAGTGGGTCCTTATTGGCAGAAGCAGCTGGATGTCCTAAGGAGAAATAGCAATAAGAGGACAGAACCATTTCTGCAATATATCTGACCCTGTGCTGTCTTCTTATGTTCCTCTTCTGGCCACACTGCCTTACTTTTTGACTCACTGGCTGGTTTAACCTGACCTTAAGGGCTAAGAAACATTTGGCATGAAGACATATTTCTTAGGTGGTGAAATATGCAAAAGAATTTAACTTTTCTATAATAATCTGGTTTTAATTAGTCTAACAAATCTATTCAGTTGCTACAATAGTTACTGAGAAATACTAGTTGATAACTTTAATAGTGTAATTTATGCATCTCAACAAATAAATGCCTATTTTATGCTGGCCTTGGCCCTAGACCATGAGATATTCTAGCAAGAAACCAGAAAGGTAGATATGTGTAACTTAGTGATAGAGATACATTGTGAGAAATATGTTGTGAGGTGACTTCATCATAGAATGCACTTACATGAACCTAGATGGTATAGATCATTAGGGTACATAATTGTGCTGCTGTACTTTTATATGACTGATAACACAGTAGGTTTATTTAAACCAGCATTACCACAAACACATGAGTAGTGTGTTGTGTTCAATGTTATGATGGCAATAATATCACCAGATGATAAAAATTTTCAGCTCCTTTATAATCTCATGTGACTACTGTTATTTGTACAGTCTATTCTTAAATAAAATGCTATCTTGCAATACAGGACTGTACTTTTTATTTCCCAGATTGGAATAGAACATATGATAGTGAAAAAAATTAAGGTTAGTTTGTAAGCTGAAAAGGAGAAAATAATTTGCCCAAATTATGAAGCACCCTTAATCTAAGGATGTAAGCTTTGTATAAGTTTCACTGTTCTTTCTATGAGGTAGAGAAATACTGATCCTCATCCATGACACAGCTTTCCAGAGGCAGGGAGAGTAGAGCATGCTCCATGGCTGCACCACATGGACTGACATGCTGAGAGAGTGATTTGCTCTAGATCCCGAGGTTGAAGGAGCAGTCCCAGCTGCCCTTTCTTCTCCACCTGTTCTTTGCACTTTATCCTCTGTGCCATCATGAAGGGAAGAAATGCGTCTCCCCAGAGTCCCTTTGGGATGGGGAGCATGGACTGTCAGGCAGGCTCAGACTAGGAGAACTTCTCCCAGATCTGCCACGGACCAGGTCTGTCATCCTGTCCTGTCCTCAGTCTTTTGTGCCAGTTATACCACTAAGCTCTGAGAGTATGGTATGAACTGTCAGAGCATTTACCTAATTCTAATCCTACGAAATTTTCCTAGACAAGTTAGCATAGATGAAAGCTATCGTCTGTCAGGATACTGGTTCTGTGAGTACCTGCTTTATGATACTTAGCATGTGCTTGACTACTTCCTCCTTACTTCATCAAATCTGCTAAGTATTCCGATATTTGCCTTATATAGGCTGGGCCATGCCATGATCTAAGTGGTCCACATATAAGAGTTGGTAGTGGTCTAATAGCATCAAAGTAATGAAACAAATAAAATTATTTAAATGACCAGGTTGGTTTGCTAACTTAATTGTCCCAAGCATATTATTAGAGCTTGCATATGAATCAACTAGATATTAGATGTTAGATAAGATAAATTTGAGAATTAGAGAATTACACCTCAAACTCCAGAACAAGATTGAGTTAACCCATGTTTGAGCCTTTTATAAGGGATGCTAGCATTTGTTCTTCCTACTTCAGGGACCTTCCAGTGTCTGGATGGAAGCAGGTGCATAGACAGTAAATACCACTGTGATGGAGCCCAGGATTGTCCTGATGGGTCTGATGAGGTGACCTGCTGGAAACCCACTGAGGATTGTTCTCTGCATTGTGATAAAAAGACCCGCTGTGTCCCCAAGAGCTGGCTGTGTGATGGGAACCTAGACTGCTTTGACAAAAAAGATGAAGAAGGATGTAGTAAGTTCCATGGGGCTTTCCAAGATTATTTTAAACTGTGTCACATTGATTCTTCTTATTTGTGGTAGTTATGTTCTATAAAGTTTTTAGAAACACTGAATTAGCAGGCAATGAACCATTGCTCTGGGGCAAGGTATGAGGTTGGGTTCCTTTGATATGAGGTTGAGGTCACAACATTTTTGTCAATCATTGGACATGCGACTTTATTGTGTGTTTCTGTTTGAAGTTGTCTTAATAAGTATTATTGATTCATTAACATTAAACTCACTGCACTCTGAGTTAAAAATTGTCTCAAGATACGTAGCTCACTCATTAGCAATGAACTCGGAGCACGGTAACTCCTGCCTTAAGCCTAACACAAGTATTTTCCCCTCAGGGTGCATCACAACATCCTAGTGCCCAAGAACAATAGACAGCACTGCAGCATGGTGCTTGGAGACCCCTGCAGAGGGAAGGACAAATTCTACCATCCCTCAGAAAAGGTTCAAAATCAGGTTAACTCACCCTTGTTCTGGAATTTGAGATTAACTCTCAAATTTATTTTATCTGTGTTCTAATATCTAGTTGATTCATATGCAAGGTCTAAAAGTACACCCATGTGAAAATATGGCCCTAAATCCATTGCAAAAAGGACATTTGTTTACAATTGAGAGTTGATTCAAGAAGGCAGAGCATTGCCTTGTGCAATCACAGCTAGGAACACACATTGGGTAATTCAGATTTTGTTTACTGGTCTTTTTATATCTGTAAATGACCACGAAAGTGTGGAAGCATTAACTTTGGGGTTACAAAGAAATGTTAGTGAGAAGTTTAATGTGTAAATACTGAAGCCACAAATAACTGTTGACTATACTTCCTACAGAGGCAACAGAATAAGATGAAAGGATTTCATTGGAGGAATTTTGAAGATTATACTGAACACTCCCTTTTCCACAAAATACCACTGCCCCAAATTATTTCTTGTCGAGCTAGAATCTATATCCTTGAAGATTAAAATTTTTGTTTTGGGTCTCTTTAAGTGATAGGACCTGTCATTTGTAGATGTTAGTACTTCCCCTAATCTTTATGGGATACATAGTCTTCATTTTTATTCTTACTAATACCATGTTTCAAAGACTAACATCATCCTTGTTAGGATGATGAGTGCAGAAGAGAGAATTATGAGAATTGAAGTGGGAAGACGAGGTACTGGGTGAGGTACTGTGATAGATTTGGATGTGGAGATGATTGCATAGCCGGAGACTGCCCTTGGGGTCATGAAAATATCAAAAGATAAGCAAAACAGGAAGGAAGTGGGAAGGACTCAGGTATATTTGCTCATTAATCTATACTTCTTATAGGGTTTTCACAGGGCCTGATCTTTGTTCTTGAACAAAATCAAGTACTATGTATCTATAAATGCTGAGCCCAAGAACATAAATTATAGAATATGTGCATGTTGGAGAAACTTCTTTTTTTGTAGATGAAATAAAGGACCCAAAGGAGAGTCCTTACTCTGCCTTTTTCCCAGTGTCCTTCCACATATCCTCCCATCCTTGTTTCTCGCCCTTGTTTTCTAAGACAAAGAGGGGTCTTGGGGTGGTAGCTTCTATCTGGGGGAGAAGCCTATTAGTAGGTCTTCTCTGGCATAACTCTCAGCTTGAACCACTCTCCTGTTCTGACACCTGCTGCAGATGATTTGCATGGTGATAGCAGAAACCTGGTGACTCTTCAAATCGTTTTATTTGTCTTTGAATTGCTTTATATCTAGCTGAATTCTTACCTTATGCTTTATTTTTTCAGTTCATGAAAACTGCAGCATGTCTGAATTTAGATGTAAGAGTGGCCAATGCATTTCCTACTCTCTGCACTGTGATGGGCACCCAGACTGCCAGGATCACTCAGATGAAGAAGGCTGCCCTGCTGCCTGGCCCCTAAGGTGCCCACTGGGGCAGGTGAAGTGTTGGGGCAGTGGAGAATGTGTGTTATCTGAGTGGATATGTGACCACGACCTAGACTGCAAAGATGGAAGTGATGAGAAGGTAGCGCACTCTTCTTTCAGAAAAATACGAAAGTGCCATCATCCCCCAGCATCCACAGGGAACTGGGTCCAGGACCTCTCAAAGATACAGACATTGGGATGCTCAGGTCCCTCATATGAAATGGCATAGTAGATACTTGATTGTAACCTATATGGTGAATCATCTCTACATTACTTGTAATACCTAATACAATGTACCTGTTATATAAGTAGTTGTTACACTATATTGTTTAGGGAATAATGCAAAGAAAAAATGTGGTGCATGTTAACACAGATGTATTTTTTTGAGTTTTTTTTGTATATGTGCTGCTGAAGTAAGCATGTTTTTCGAGTTTTTTGACTTGCATTTAGTTAAATGCATTGACTTAGAATCCCTGGATATGAAGAGCTAACTGTAATTTTCTAGTCATACATGCTTTCTATAGAAAATTTGGGGAAACATAAGAGAGAAGTCACCCTTAATACTTCCCAGAAAGCCTCTTATAACTTTATTAAAGTATCCAAAGCATTAACAAGAGGCTGTTAAAAATCAAACTTTTAGGAGGTATTGTATTTGTATTGCAGGAAGAGATTTGCAAGTATCAAATATGATAACTTTGACTTGAGTGTTCTACCTAGAAATATACACTGGAAAACTGAAAAACCCTGCCACTAACTCTGCTAATTTGTCACTCTAGCATTGTATAAAGTGCAGCCTGGGTGTGAGTCTACTGATCTGATGTGATTTTAAGCAAGCACATGTGAGGGTTCTATTTCCTCACTGTTAAGTGGGTCTAGGATCGGCCTCATCCTATCTGAGGAGTTGAGAATGTATCTAAAGGCTCTGGGGACTAGCAGGTAAACAGATGCTCCCCTCCCTTCTGCATGGCCCACTCACAGTAGATGCAGAGTACGTCATCAGTTTTATTTGCTGGAGCATGTGTTAAATTAGAGTTTCTGGAACAGATTCCTTTGCTTCTGTTTCCTAAATGGAATTAAGATCAATTTGACAAAATAAGACATTTCCTCCCACTTTATGCCCAGGTTTGTACACCTAGCAATTCTTACCTAAATTCCAACTACAGAAAGAATTTCTTATCATTTGTGTCACTTCTGAGTTTGTAGGCTTCATGGGGCTTCCTTGAAGAAGGGACTTGACAGCAGCCTGCTACCACTGGACTCTTCCTCCTCTGAGAATCTCTTCCTCCCACAGATGCTGACTGTGTTCTTTTTTCTTAGGACTGTGACCCTGAGGCACTCTGGTGTAGCCCAAGGCAGTGGGCCTGTGCCAGCCGAGACCAGTGTGTGCCTGACTTCTGGCACTGTGATGGGCAGAGGGACTGCAGGGATGGCAGTGACGAGGCTGGATGTAAGTAAAGGAAACACTTATGTGGGGCCCTGGTGCTTGCCTGACCTGGGAGTGACAAACCAGCTCCTTGAGCAATGCCGCAGCACCCAAAATCCATTCCTTTGCCCAAATGAAGGTGTCTTGATTGCACCAGAGAAGCCTTGCTGGGGGAGGGTTGTCTGGGAGGTAGAATATAAGATTCTAAGCGGAGAATCTTCCCCCCACAGGCCCTGCTCAGAAGTGCCGGCGCTCTGAGTTCCAGTGTGGCACCTCTATCTGCCTCAACTTCAGTTTGGTGTGCAATGGGAAAGAGGACTGTGCTGATGGCTCGGATGAGGGTGGCAGGTGCCACCTACCAGCATGCAGCCCAGGACAGTGTCCCCATACCTGCTACCCATCCCCAGCTGGGCCTGTGAGTTGCTTCAGCTACTGTTCTCTGGCAACCATAAACTTGGTCTAGGGAAGCCCAGAATGGCACTTTCCCATTCATGTTGTCCCTCATTGGGCCCTCCCTTTAAGTCTTACACGGCAGGGCTGTCCTGACCATTCACTGATGTGTCTGAGTCTTTCCTGGCTTCCGGTGAATCCTGTCCAGCTCCTCGCCCATCTTGTGTCTCCGGAACTCTGCTGCTCAGTCTATTTCCATTTCAGCTGTAGTGATACTTGTGGATAAATAAGAAATTTTGTTGATTATCCTAAAACTCAAACAGTCCCATGGGATTACAATTCAGGAACTGCATCAGTTGCAAACAGTTGCTACCATGAGTGGAATCTGATCTGCCCTTAAGCAGAGAACTACCTGTTCTCTAGTTAGTGGACTTGATTCTAAAGAAATCTGTTCTGATAGCTGGTCATGGGAGCATCTCTTTTGTCAACCATTTCAGTTAAGTCTGCATGCCTTTTCTCTCATTGATCCTCTCTGATCTCACTCATTCTGAATCTGGACACCTTTGCCCAACTCAGGACCCATGATGTAAGGGGTATGGCAAGGTTGACAAAAGACAAAGAGAAACAACTATATTTAAAGTAGATTGGTTCTGAGAATAGCTGGCAAACAGTTGCCAAAAAGGAATATCTCACCATGTGCTCTTCATTACCTGTTATCTCCCTTCCCCACCACTTCTTTAATGACTGCCATTCTGTCTTCAGAAAGTCTCAATGTCTTCTCATACCCATCAGGTCTGTGCTTGCGAGCCAGGCTTTGAGTTGGAGAGCAGTGGAGGGATCTGTGAGGATGTGGATGAGTGCCAGGGGTTCAGCAGTCAGCCTTGCAGTCACACCTGTATCAATACCAAGGGCTCATACATCTGCACCTGTCATCCTGGCTACTCACTGGAGCCTGATGGCCATACCTGTAAGGCAACAGGTAAACTGGAACTGGAAATATCTTCTAAATCCTGGGTCACTAGCTTTAAATTCTTAAAACTTCTAGGAACATTAATCCAAATCTCCCCTCCTTCGGTCTCCGGCTTGTTTATTTGTCCTTAGAAAAAAGTGTAGCATATCCCCAAACCCATCATTTTAAATCTTGTACTTCACACCAAGTGAGAGTCTGAAACTACTAATAAATTGTTACTGTAACAAAATCATAACTCTGGCCTCTGTATCCATGGGTCAACCTTACCAGTCCTGTAAAGCATTTCTTCCCACATACCTGCCCCCAAAATATTTAGTTAGAAATGTGAGGATTTTTTTCAGTTTAAGCTAATGAATCCTTATTTCCCTTAAGTACCTTTTAAGTATAGTTATTATTCTAACTGTTCCATGATAAGAACTCCTTTGATACAGGCTAGTTGGCATCTCAGCTTTGGCAATGAGAGGCAAGGACTGCTAGCAATTCAATTCAATTCCTAACTAGGACTGGGATTTGCTTTTCAAACCCTTTTAAGGCCATATTAAAAGCAGTTCTTACTTCATAGGTACTGAACCAATCCTGCTTGTTGCAATTCAATTTAACTTATTTCTCTATGGATTGAGAAGCTTGAAAGAAGATATCCTGGCAACTATAGACAAGAACCTGATTATTTTCTCTGTTGACTATGACTTAGTAGATCAGAAAGTCTTTTGGACAGATTTCAATGCAGAAAGTATACAGTGGATAAGTATGGATGCTACAAAGAGAGGCACTGTGGTGAAAGGTAAGCCCCGCAGTAATGTAGTCATCCTATCCCTATAAACGCAAGTAGCACAAACAAGAAAATGAATGGCCATTAACATTCCAAACATTAGTTTGTTTATAGTTCCCTCACTAAAAGACCAAGACTTGCTAGTTGGTAAGATGCTTTGGCAATTCATTAGACAAAGGGGTTTGCAAACTACCAGCCTTAGCTCTTTCCATAGCAAAAAAAAGACCAAGATTTGGTAGCTGGAAGTTGCTGGTTGGAAAGATGCAGTGTCACCTTAGTAGACAGAGGGGTCTGCCAAACTATCAGTAACCTAATTATTTCTAATAGTTATCTCCCTTTACAATAGTACTTTGAACATTTTAAAGAAGATTGCTATATTGGAGATGCATACATAGCAGTGGGAAATGAGTTAACATGGCATACAAATCTGCTAAACATTATAATTTACCATAAGTACATGTGTTGAATGATTTCTTCAGGGATAAAGTCAGACTGTATAGTGGTTGACTGGATTGGAAGGAATCTGTACTGGACTGATGGGACAGCTGGTCAGATTTTGGCGATTCCACTGACTGCTGTTTGGAGAGGAAAAGCTGAGTACACAATTGTCCTGGATGATGACTTGACACAACCCCGGTCTTTGGCTTTGGATCCTCTAAATGGGTAAGTTAGATGTCTGAATGCCTGGTGAAGACCTTTAAGTTGACTACATTTCCATAGTTCTACTTTACTTCTGTCCCCTTAACACAGAATGAGTGACTAGAAAACTTACCTGATTTTACTTTAGATTTTATGGTGATGTGGATTGGCTGTACACATGATAATCTTAAAAGCTTCTGGAAAAAGTTCTTCATTTCAGTAAAATGAGATGTACACGTGAGTTCACTTGGTGTCCATGTGGACTTCCTTCTGCTAAAATAAACAAATATACTTCTGGTGAACTTTAAAATGGTAGGTAAGGGGAGACTTGAACTAGGGGTATTTAATTTACAATAATGCAGATCTAAGTTAAACTTGGGTTATTTGATCTAATGTCTTTTCTCTCTGCAAAGGCAAGAAATTTAAAGTTAATATTCCCATTCTTTCAATGGGATGGTGATATGTGTATCAAAATGTACAGGAAACCTAGGATGCAAAGGGAACACATATTGAGTCCCTCTCTCCTTTCTTACCTTTTAAAGACCTCCAACTAGAAATCTATCAACCAGAAAATTAACAGTGTGTTTTGATACATCCAACAGCCTATGGTTGAGAATGAGGTCTGAGGTTTCCTTGTGCACATGGTACTAGCTTATTTCCTGGATATTTTTCAGGCAAGGAACTAATGAACTCGAAGGCTTTTTCATACAGTTATGATAGATACTTTGCCCTCAAAAGGTGACTAAACAATCACCGTGTAATTTTGAGAAAAACTTTCTTTTACTACTACACAACTACATTTAAAGAATAGACCTCATTAAAGTTGAGAAAAAAATAATTGGGCAGTAAGTGAGTATTTTAAGGAATGCATTGATATTTTGTGAGGCAATGCATTATCTTAAAGTTGACTTTTATTCACTTAGATTAATGTACTGGTCTGAGATTGGAGAAGAACCGCAAATAGAGAAAGCAGGAATGGATGGAAGCAGCCGGAAAATACTCATTGATAAAGGTCTTGGACGGCCAACTAGCATAGCTCTTGACCAGTTAAGTTGGAAGATATTCTGGTCTGATGACAAATTTCACAGCATTGGTTCTGCCAACCTAGATGGTACTGGCATTAGTGTAAGTGTTCTTTTGACACAAGGCTTGTTTAAAATGTCCCACATTTTATATAAAACTCACCCCAGAAAGCTCACCTTTACCACTTCAGATGTTGCAGCTCACACAAATCAAGAACCCCTTTTCAGTCACTGTGTTTGAAGATGGAGTCTTCTGGTCTGAACTGAAGACAAGAACAGTACAGCGTGTGCAGAAGATGACAGGCAAGAGCCGGGCTGTCCTCATCAAGCGTTCTGGACAGCCCTATGGACTCAAGGTGTCCAGTGTGCTCTTTGAAATATCTCCCTAGTTCTCCTTGAAAAGCCTGTGTGTGTCTGTGTGTGTATGTGTGTGTGTGTGTGTGTGTGTGTGAGAGAGAGAGAGAGAGAGAGAGAGAGATCTGCCTAAATATCAACTGTAATGATGTCTATTTATACTTAAAAGAAAAACAACATTTGGACTTGGGATGTAGTTCAATAGTAGAGGGTGTCTTGGTATGCACAGGCCCTGGGCTCAATCTCTATTACCACAAAAAAAGAAAGGAAAAGGTACATGTCCTATTCTTTTTGTTTGTTTATATTTGGTTGGTTCTTTTTTGTTTTTTGTTTTTTTTGGTACCAGGGATAGAACTCATGAACCACTGAGCTAAATCCCCGGCCCTACATATCCTATTGTTAAGGATTCAAGAATACATAGTGGCATCTAGCTATTTTCTTCCAGATAATGCACGAAGTGCTACAGCCTAGGTCTTTGAATCCTTGCCTGGATACTGGATGTTCTCACTTGTGCCTTTTGAGCCCACGATCCACGGGAAGCTGCCATTGCCCAGTTGGCTTTTTGCTTGCAGATGATGGCCTCAACTGTGTCCCACTCCAGGAGTCTGCATTCCTCTTCCTTGTACTGCCCACAGTTATTACACAGGTACTGACCTAAGCTTCCCTAGTATGTTCCTGCTTGGTCTGTGTTCCATTTCAGACTTTGGATGTTTGAATTCTCCACATACAATTATAGCTGGTAAGTGCCCTTTTCCTTCAAATATTCTTCAGATACATCTTACATTTGAGTATTGACTGTGTGCTGGGTGCCATCACAATCAAAATAAAATATCTTGGCCATAATAAAAAGATTGAGATGACCCAAGTAAAGTTTTTTACTAAAAGTAGTTAAATGAAGGCCCCATCTAGTTAAATTTCCCTAAGGAATGCTTAGTACACCGTAACACGGTCAAGTTAAGGATTGGAAAGTGAGATTATCTTTGTTTAGTTGTCTAGGTTGTAGCTCAAGATGCAGCATAGTAACTCCAAATACAAGCAGCTCACCTGGGTTCAAGCCTGGGGAAGTACCTTTTTTTAAATATCCTTTTATTGGTACATTTGAGGTATACAATATAATGACATTCATCATTGGAGATATGCAACTTTACATACTCTCTTGGTTCTTATTTTTTCCCCCTTCCCCTGCCCTCCCTTCAACCCCTCCATCCCTCCCTATTTACAAAGACTTTATTTCCATTTTTTCATTTTCTCATATTAATTCCATTCCCTTCTTTCCTTTCCCCTACCCCTCCCACTTC